AAGCCCAGATGTTGAAGCATTAATAATGGAGCTTCTAATCGTGGTGTCTGAACAAATATGGCTTCATACCAATAAAAAGTCTAGTTCTAAGACTTACAGCTGGATTACATTTGTTGTGATAAAGTCCATGTTAAGGAGTCCTTTGTGCATATTTGTGTGTGGATTCTCTTCACTAAATATAAAAGATTTTTGAATCCTAATGGTCTTCTAAAATGAGCTTTTTGTCCTGTCTTATTTATCGAGGACTGATGCAATATTCTACTAATCATTGTTTGGGTGAAAGGACAGTGTAATTGGATGTTCCTGAAGTTGCAAGTGTCTTGCACTGTTTCAATACTAGTCTCCAGATGATGATTCATTAGTTAGCAAGTTAAAATATAGAATTTTCTTTCTAAAGATGTAAATGAAATCCAAGAATGTAAAAATCCTTTGCTGTGTTTATTGAACCTTCCTTATGCTAAAGGTCCAAAGTATTCCATTACTTTAAGAATGGGTCACAATGTAAAAGGTGAACTTCATATTGTTTTGCTAGTCAGCTGCTTCTGTTCTTGGTTGTGTTGAAATAACTTATGAAAGAAGGAATAACAACCTGAGGAGAAGGCATGTAGTCTAAACTCCATGTTTGCACTTGGGAGCAGCAGCTTGCTTTTCATGCATGATACTGTAACACACTCTTAAAATTAAAAAAAAAAGGAGGAAAAAAGCGCTACAGAATAATTTGTGCTGGCTAATAATAAATGTGTGTCTTTAAATTTAGTGCTTCCAAGCTGTATAAAAGTAAGTAATCCTAATCAAGGACCAATTTTAACCTATTTTGTCACTTATTTTATATGGTTTGTTCAAAACCAGATATGGAACTTGCTTACGGCGCTGTGCATTGTTTAATATTTCCTGTAAGTACAGCTGTATATTCAGATTGCAATTATAAAATTTAAATGGGGGAAGGGAGAAACACATAGAATACTAGGACTAGCGCAGTTGTCACTATTGCAGCTAGAACACAAAACACTGATACTCCAGTGTTTCCTTGTGTTATGACTGAAAATATGTACAGATTTTTGCAACTGTTAACTGTTCATTTTAACCTTGAATGTTTCTGGAGGCCTCTCTGGGTTTTGTGTCATAACCTGTTCATAAGCACTAGTATCTGTTTGCTTCTAGATGCTGTAATGGAAATACCAGTTGATGGTTAACTGGAACATCCTCTAACTTAAAATTTTCAAAGGTGAACTCCATTATGGGCACAAAGTACAAGAACATCGTAGACTCAGTGTTTGAAAGTAGTGGTTTTGATGGCTCACTGGTAGGTGGCATTTGAAACTGGGTTTGGTTGTCTTGCAGTCTAGAACTAAATCTTTGCATCTTTGGTGAAGAACTCATTGCGGCAAAAGCCAAACTTGAATTGCTAATGTAAAAGGTTTGTTAAGACATAGAATAATGTAGGTTTTAGAAGTTGGAAGGCACCTGTATTTCAGTGCTTTGCAAAGAGTCTGTATTTCTAAAATCACAAATGGTGTACTCGTAAATGACAATAAAATGTTCAACTTTTCTAGATATACTGTCTGTGGTGCATTTTGTGCTTTGGAGTGGACTTTTCCCAAGTTGTTCTTTAGGAGCTGTTTATCACCAGAAGGATGCTTCGGTTTTGTCTCTGCTCACTGCGTGTGAAGATCTTGCTATTCGGTGCTTAAATATCGATGGTCTTGCACCTGTACCCTATGTAAGAGTCTGCATTAGCGTCATGCTCCTGTCTTCATTGCCAGGTCCGGATCTCAGTCTGAGGGCTACTGTGGCTGGATTTCTCTGATGCTTGATCACAAGTGTCACCTACCTCTGCTCAGTACTGGTGGCTCTTTCCTTCTTCCCTCACGAGACTGCTTGAGGGGTTTTTATTGACCACAGCAACAGGTGCTGGGGGTGAAAATTCAAGTTGTCTTGTCCCTTTCCCTCCTGCACTGCAGGCGTGCATCAGCTTTCTTGTATTTTTTTGTCATTGTTGTGTTGTGGTATGTTAGATGGTTCATGAACTCAAACTTGAAATGCACTTGCCCAAATGCACAGGTTCTGAGCTGGGCCTTTCCCAATCCCTGATGAAATAATACTTAAAGAGCCAGCCTAGTGTGTATGTTTTGAGTTGGTCGGGCTTCACAAGGTAACTGGTTCCTACACTGACAAAATTATTACTGTTAATTTTTGGACCCTGAAGCTGTGTAACTTTTTAAAATAAATTCTTTACAGGTTGTACTTTTTGTTTGTTTTGCTTGGAAGCTTTTCTTTTTGAAGCTCAGAGCAGGTTTAAAACCAAATACTTTAAAAATACTTTAACTAATTTTGTCTAAAATGTAGGGCAAGAGTAGCGGTGAAGTCTTACGAAGAGCCCGGCTTTCACAGGCCAGCTTGGCGCTCGGTCGCGTCTGTGGATGAAGCCGCCGGTCCTGCCGCCTCCTTCCCTCCAAGGCCGTCCCCCCCTCCCCCCCCTACTTAGGCGCGGGCTTCCCCCTTAAGCCGAGCCTGCCCTCCGGGCGGGGCCCGGCCCTACTCCGCGCATGCGCTGACCGGCGGCTGCAGCGCGCCTCCGTGCCGCTG